CATGTTGTAGAATGTGGCAGAATTTCCTTCCTTTTGAAAGCTGAATAATTAAAATTTTTATTGTTATGTAAAATTTTTATTATGGTTCTTTTGTCCTTATGAGTTTATAGTTTTATTTTCCCCATTCCTTTAGCCATTATTTTAGTAGAGTTTCGGGAAGCAGAGATAAACTTGAGAGTCCACCCTAGTCCTTAACAGGAAACCCACATTCTATTTATGCAATGTAGCATTTCAGGACCCATCCTCTATTGCTTTTGAGAATCTCTTTAACTTTGCAAGAGCCCTTAAAGGAGAACAGAATAATGAAGTTGCTTTTAGTCCTCATTTAGCCAAAGAAAAACTTACGCTCTGACGTTAAGCAAAAAAGTTACTTCAAACAGTTGTTTTCTCAGAAGGCATATGGTATGTGTGTAAACCCTTCCCTGGGGAATCTGGTGTAGAGGATCTCAAAGTGTGGTCCCTAGACCCACAGTATAAGCATCACCTGGGAGTTTGAGAGAAAAGCAAATTCTCAGGCTCCTCCTCAGACTTACTGAATCTGAAAATCTGGGGTATGGGCCAGCCACTGTATTTGAACAAGTCCTGCAAGTGTTTCTGGTGCTCCCTAGAGTTGGAGAACCATTGGTCTTCTAGAGGCAATCCTTTGAAAAGCTGCATCTAGAGATTAAACATTTTATCTTGTCTCAGTGCAAGTGTTTACAAGATTTTCAGCCTATGAGGTGACCATCTTTTAGCATATAAGTGTGTGGTGCCTATACCACCGACAGTGCCCATGTTTGGGACTTCACTCTCTACAGAAGAGGCAGGCTTTGTCATGTATTTGTACTACCTAACCACTTTCTTTATTTTTTAGTATTTATTTATTTTTTTCTGTTTCCATTATGGTTTATTACAGGATATTGAATATATTTCCCTGTGCTATACAGTAGGACCTTGTTGTTTATCCATTCTATATATAATAGTTTGCATCTGCTAATCCCAAACTCCCAATCCAACCCCCCCCCCCCCCTTGGCAACCACAAGTCTGTTTTCTATGAGTCTGTTTCTGTTTTGTGGATAAGGTCATCTGTGTCATATTTTAGATTCAACATTAGATATCATATGGTATTTTTCTTTGTCTGACTTACTTTGCTCAGTATGATAATCTCTAGTTGCATCCATGTAGCTGCACATGGCATTATTTCATTCTTTTTTATGGCTGAGTAATATTCCATTGTGTGTGCATGCGCGCGCGCGCGCGTGTATATATATATATATATATATATATATATATATACACACACACATACATATCACATCTTCTTTATCCATTCCTCTGTACCTGACCATTTTCTTATCCTGCACCCCACTGGCCACACTGACTGAACCAGGAGAGAACCTCTCACTCAAGCCAGCCAATCCCACTGGATTCTCTTGAGAATATGAACTAGAGACACCAAAACTGTAGTCAGTGCTGAACTGTTAAAGGTATATGAGACTAAGAGTGATAGCCACAGTGGGCCCTGTGCAAGCACAGCCCCTGTGTCCTTTCAATTCGCCTACTTTTTTTTTCCTTGAGTGGGTATATATTTCTTGCACCAAAGAGGCTTGATCAGGATATATCTATTGATGTATTACATAATCAATAGTTAATATATGAGTTATTGATAAGAAGTGCTGTATGATTGACTGGCCATAGTTATTATTATCCATTGTAAACGTTGCCCAAACTATTGGCTGCTCCATGCTGTTGTCTTGTTTTAGCTGCAGCATATCAACAAACTGATGTCTCTGTCTAATATCTGTTTAATTTCCCATGTGCAAAAACAAATTTGGCAGCACTCTTATTTCATTCCAATGCTGAACTCTGAGTCCTTTTGCAATTGCTTCTGATTCTCTGAGGAACTAGTGAAAATTGCTTTGTAAATCAACAACCAAAGAATCAATATCAATGATGTTCTTTTAAAGAAATCAAAGATAAATGGTCCTCAGAAGTCACTGTCACTGTACTTCAACATTCAAAAGGAAATATTCTGAAAATGACAGCAAGGGAAATCATATAATATTACCAAAACAGTTATGGGATAGTGAATAAAGCCAGAATATGATTTGAGAAGTGAATGTTTGTTCTGAGAACAATATTAACCTAATAGGAATATGAGGATCAAGCTTTACTTTTTCAGGCCATGGTTATTGATTTAAGAACGGACGCAAATAAAAATTGTTATCAGAGAGCTGTTTGCAAAGATGTTTTAAATCCAACATGTCTTCTTTTAATATTATACTACTGTAGAATATCCCAAGATGGAAGAGACCATATAGGTCATCCAATCCAATTATGCATTTCATGTTTGACTCACCTCTATACCCTTGAAAAAATGACAGCCACGTGACCCTGGCATTGTGGTTGATGACAGACCCATCTACCGTGCTTCATACAGTAAATCTATGAAAAGGAATAATGGCATTTTGAAACACAAAATATAGGATGCTACTTTGAAATATGGCTCTTGTTAATGTTTGGGGAAACATAATGTTTTTCTTCTGTCATTCCTGGGGGAAAGGGTGTTAAGCATTGTGGCAGACACTGATTATTGCTCCCAGAATTGGTTCTCCTGCATCTCCAAATGTTTGCTTGGCACAAGACTGCTCAAAATAAAGCTCAAATTCCCAAGCTTTCCTTATAGCCATGCATTTGAGTTACTATTGTTGTGGAAAGTAACAAATTACCTCAAAATGTAGAGGCTGAAAACAAGCTTTTTATTATACTCAAAGATTTGGGATGGGGCATCACACGGATGGCTGCTTCTGTCATGCTGGCACGACTTCTATCCAAGCAGTCACAAGCCCACCCAGATTCAAGAGGAGGGCAATTAAGGCTTCAACTCTTGATGGGGGAGTGGCAAGATCACACTGTTGAAGAGCACATGGCACAGGTGAGATTTCTGAAGCCACCTTTGGAAAATGCAATCTGTCACACCATAGGTGTGGCTGTTGACTAAGTTCTGGCCAAGAGGATATACGAGGAATTGGTGTGTTTAACTTCCTGGAAGTGTCCTTAGACGGGGAATGTGTATGTGGCAGGAGGGGAGGTTCCCTTCTCTTTTCCACTTTCCTCTTGGCTGAAATATGGATGTAGAAGGAAGGTAGAGCAGCACTTTGGACAACAAATTTAGGATTACATAGCAACAAGCTGGAAGGAGGCTGGGTGCCTAATGATCCTAGAACCACCATGCCAGCCCTGAGCTGCTTGCATTTACATTACAGAGAAATAAACTTCTATCTTGTTTAAGCTACTATATTTTGTATTTTCTTGTTAATCTTAATAAAAACATCATCATAAATGAAGAAAGATGATGCAAACTTGTCTTAAATTACTGGGTCTATAAAGATAATAATGTTTATATGGTCTATATAATATTTATATGGTTAGAGTTTGACTAATATTGTGGGCCATGAAGTGAGGATCATGGTATTTCATAAAAGCTTAATTCTTAAAATGCTTGACCCTTACCATTAGAAGTACCTTACTATATTTAAAAATAACATATTATTATGAAGTTAAAAAATGGAAATAAAGAAAACATTCACTCATGGAGTGAATATAAGTTGTGTCATAAACAAAGGATTAATGTCAAAATGTATTTTTATTAAAGGGACTAGTTTGTTACATCTTGATTTTTAGTCTTTGACGTTTCTGAACCATGTATGTACTTTTTTGTGTGTGTGGGTAGAAAGATAAGCTAAGTGAGCTTGCTATTGAGATATTTTATTTTACAATGATGGTCATGGTAAAAAATGATGTGTTTTAAAATACCGTTTAATTGGCAAAAGACATTTTCTAATTCAAAACCGGAAACATTCGCAGAATAAGCCTCATTTCAAAGTCCAGGACTTCTTTAAAGCACACATCTCGAATCCTATTTCTCTTTATAGTGAAGTACATATTCCTATTTTTGGAGATATAATTCAAAACCACTGAAAGCGTAAGGGAACTTTTAAAAAATAAACAGTAACAGTTTAATCAGGCAAAGGTTTTTTTGCTTGAGGGCCATCTGTCCTGACACTGACAGTTTATTCAAATTGCTGCACCATCCTGTTTGAAGGGCATCGACTAACTTTAAGTGCCTAACAATAAATGGCACATTTGTCTTAACAAGTAGTAACTGCATAAAGTGGACAATGGGATAGTATCAGTGAAGCAAAACAATAAAACAGGATGGATGGAGAAAGACTGGATAAAATGTGGCGAAAGAAAAAAAAAGGTGTCACAAAGATGGGGCATTATTTCTTTGTCCAAAAGATAACCAGTACCGCTATACGACTTTAAACAAAAGACATCACCCACACTTATAAATCCAACTAGATTCTCGGAGGAAAATAAAATGCCGCTACCGAGGTGGAGGCCGAAGTTTCAGGGCAAATCGAGTGGCGCCAGCTCTGCGTGGACTCCGTTGGTGAATGACGCGTGGGAATTCTGCCGAGTGGCCCGCCCGCTCCGGGGCGTGCGGACAGGTAGACGGCCAGGCGCGCCTGGGCCCGGGGATGACCCGGGGGATGGCCCCGGACCGCGCCCCTCGCAGCGCGCCCAGCCAGCCAGCCGGCGCCCGCCTGCGTTTTCAGCCCCTCAGCTGTCCAGGCACCCGGCGCCCGCAGGCAGAGGTTGCTATGGTTTCCTGGGGTCACGTGGGGCGCGCTGGCGCCCCCTCCCGCGCTCCGCGGCGGGGCGGGGGCGGGGCGGCCCAGGAAGGGGAGAGGAGCGGCCGCGGTGGGAGCGGGAGGAGCTGGAGATGCTTCCAGCTCTCCCGAGGCCGTACTCGTTCAGCCGCCGCAGCCGCACGGAGCAGCCGCGCGACGGGAGCCGCGGGCCGGGCCAGCCGGGCCTCCGGGGCCCAGTGCGCCGCGTTCGCAGCGGGTAGCGCAGCCAGCGTCGTCTCCGCTCGCTCGGCGGCCGCGGGGCCCGAGGCCGGTCCGGGGAGGGGGCGAGGGCGGCGCCCCCGGCGCCCTTTGGCAGGGGAGGCAGGATGAGCATCGAGATTCCGGCGGGACTGACGGAGCTGCTGCAGGGCTTCACGGTGGAGGTGCTGAGGCACCAGCCCGCGGACCTGCTGGAGTTCGCGCTGCAGCACTTCACGCGCCTGCAGGAGGAGAACGAGCGAAAAGGCGCCGCGCGCTTCGGCCATGAGGGCAGGACCTGGGGGGACGCGGGCGCCGCCGGCGGGGGCGGTACCCCCAGTAGGGGGGTCAACTTCGCCGAGGAGCCCATGCACAGCGGCTCGGAGAACGGCGAGGAGGAGGCCGCAGACGCAGGGGCGTTCAACGGTAAGGACCCGACCCCCGCGCGCCTCCTCCCACCCCCGCCGCTCCCCCTCGGCCCTTCGATCCCGCAGCTCGGCTCAGCCACCTCTCCCTGCCTTCCCCAGCTTCCCTACCTTCCCTTCGCGCCCACCCACTCAGCATCCATTTCTGTCTCTCCCGCTCGCCCACCTTCCTACTCCGCGCTCTCGTTGTGCCCTCCCCCTCGTCCTCTCCTCTGGAGGTGGGGAGCCCAAAGGTGAGGCTTCTCTGCCCACCCGCCCCCTCTCGTCCTGGGCTCGGAGGCAGAGTTTGGGGTGGGCATCTGAGAAACAACTTTCACTGGGGTTGGAGAAATTTCCCTTGACGGATGTCACTGTGCATAAATGAAGCTGGCCCACTTGGCATCCTCTTTCAGCCTTTATATTTATTAATGGAGTGTCCAAAGCGAAAAGGCGAGGGGTGTTCAATTCGGATTGGCTTTACTGTTGTTAGGACGGCAGATTCACTAAAAGGAGCATGAAATTGGACCCACGGGGCAGAACAAAATTTATGGTGATAGCTTTGGCATTCTTGGAAACAGTCATCTATTATTTTCCAATTTAGCAATACCGCGTTGTACTATTTTGGGACACACAACAAAGGATCCCGTTTAGCCTGCAGTCCGTGGGGTGTTTGGAATGAGGAAACGGGCTAATGGTTTGCTTTTTATTTGAAACAAATATTGAATGATTTGGTGCCTTAAAAAAAAAAAAAGTGTGTGAAAAACACTGTAGGAAGTTCTGAAAGCTTGTCGGTTGTCTCTAGAATGAAAAGCCAGTGAGTAATTGTAAGGACTGTGCCAGATACTGAAGCTAGTAAGAATGAATGGGAAAGAAAAAGGGATTTTCTCAAATAATTGCTCCTGGCAGGTCCTACCTCTTCTGCTTATAACCCTCTTTCTCTGACACACGCAGACACACTTACACATTAACAGCCTTCTGTATTTACACAACGTGCCTAAATCCCATCTTTGTGGCATCCCAAGCTAAAATACCCGGGTGTGCAAATGTGCAAGTGCTTTTTCTTTGTGGTGTAAGGCAGCCATGCATTCAGCATCGCACCAGCTTTTATTTATTTACACTTCTTGTGGTTTGTGTGTCGCAGTGCATTCCATATAATGAAACCATTTTAAAGTGTCATTTCCTTATATATGTTCCTAGGATGCTGTTTCTTTTCTTTGCAAAATTGTTGAAAAGTGTTGTAAAATTAAGGTATTTTTAGCTTGTCTGAAGCGGTCATAAAAAGCACTGGAAATTAGTGCTCTCTGAAGATAAAGGGAAGATTGTTACTTTAAAAATTTTAATTTTGGACTTTTTAGTGTTTTCAGGGGTAGGATAATCATAGTCTTCATTGTTCATTTTGCACAAGAATTTAATCGAATACTTTTCTTATTAGAAATGAGAAAAGGATAAAAGAGTACATATTTTAAACAGATGGGCAGGAGAAGCCAATGATGAATGACACAGAAGGGGTAGAGACATCTAATATATACTTCTTTTATGCTCCTGAGACACACATGTACACACGAGTACATTCACATGCACATGGACACACACAAAGAAAAAAAAAAGGACTAGTTTCCCAGATTGGAGAAAAGCAGGCTAAGGGACCTGATAAAGAACGTATATTCGTTCAGTACAATATATTGTTAGTATAAGTAAAATATTTTGTATAATGTTTTTGAAGTACTTTGCATTTATGATTCTGTTTTCTCTTTACAACAAGGTAGATTATACACAGAACAGATTCGAGTTTTGTTTTGCAATGAAATAAGCCGTTAAGTTCAGAGTGGTAGGGATCATTTTATATGGTTTTATGGTCTCCAAAGCACCTTTATTGTAAAAATTACTCAGTGTGAGTTTTACTAAATATTTGTTAACCAATTGCCCTATTTATTCCCCGTTCCTACCCGCCAAAGACTGTTCTCACTGCAACCAATTTGATCATTTTCCAGTGCACACATATGCATATACGTATAACAGAAACTTTGGTGATGGTACTTCCCTTTTCTAGGTGTAGTAAAAAATATCTGTTTAGAGTATTTTCGATTCTAATCAGTTCTCTCTTAATTTTTTTAAAGTAAATTGTGAGACCCCCAGTTTAAAGAGAATTTTAGACTACCAAGGGTTGGCAAACTGTTGGTAAAGGGCCAGAAAGTAAATATTTTAGGCTTTGTGAGCAATGTATGGTCTCCATCGCATATTCCTCTTCTTTTTTTTTTAACCGCCCTTTAAACACATATCCCTTCTGGAGGTTAAGGCTGTACAAAACTGGCCACAGACCAAGGCCATAGTTTGCCAACCCTCGGTCAGAGGGGAAGAAAAAGTCAAAATAATGCCATTGCGGGGCGGGGAGGGGGGAAACAATAGGAATGAGCCTATCAGTTTAATGTCTAGGTCTAAAAAAGTGCTAGAATATAAAAAATACCGATACTGGGTAATCCTCCTGTCATAGTAAAGGATTAGAAAAGTAAGTACTAAAGAAGAGTAAAGTACTAGAAGACAAGTCTTAATTTACTGAGACATAGCACAAGACCAAGTGGATCAGTCATTCTTAAACTTTGTATACATCTCAAGGATGTTTGATTCAGAAATGAACATTACCGGGTACTAGCACAAGACCAAGTGGATCAGTCATTCTTAAACTTTGTATACATCTCAAGGATGTTTGATTCAGAAATGAACATTACCGGGTACTATTCTTGGAGAGCTTGTTTGAATAGGTTGGGGTGGACATCGGGTTTCTTTTTTTTTTTTTTGCAGACATCCCAGCTCGTTCTGATATCTACAGTTCCCTGACCACACTTTGAGACATATTGGTCAACAGATAATGGTGATTATAATATCGCTTTCTCTTATTAACAGTTTAAAAATAGCTGCCATTTATTGACATTCACTGTGTGCTAGGCACTATCTGAATGTTTTAATTCATTAACCCGGCTTTTTAAGAAAGATGAGACAGACTGTCACTTGCCCAATGTTTCACAGCTAGTGTGCTGCAGAGATTGGAACACCTGTGGGCCTGGCTCCATCCCTGTGCTCTTAAGTTCCAGATTTTATCTCTGGAAGGGGGTGGGGCTGGCATCACTTGAGCGTCCCTTGTATGTCAAGCTCTACTTGAGGTCCTTAATGTGTTTTATCTTTAAGGCTCAGAAAAATTAACTTGTCCAAGGTCACACATAGGACTAGTAAGCAGCAGAGCCTGGTTTCTTACTCACATCTCTCTGACCCACGACCATCAGAGGTTTCTTTCTTAATGGAATTTGTTTGATGGGCTGACTCACAGGTCAGGTTTTCCTGGTTATTTTTCCAGTAATGGTGATAAATTTGCTTTGATTGATGCATACCCACTCTCATGAATCCCTTAGCACAATGTATTTGTCGATGGTATTTGTGAGAGGTTGGGCAAAAAGGCAAGTTTTTGACCGTGAAGCTGGTGCCCATTGACTCACATAGAGGGATCAAGCATATGACCTTGAACTCATAGTATGGTGGTTGAATCAAGCAAGTGAACCAGGGTTTGGGACCATGGCCACTGATGGCCCTAGGCCAAAAGTCAGATGGGTGAAGGTGGTCTTGACTTCTCTCCTACCTTTCCAAAGGATTCCTTCCTCTGCTGATTGATTTCCAATTCCCCTTGTATTCTTTTCTAATTTTATCACTTATAATGTTTACTTTCAGTTTGCTGTCAATTCTTGTTAAAAGGGCAACCGTTAGGTGTTAGAATGGCATTTTCCCCCCTTTCTGGGGGAAAAAAACTATAATGGAGTCTCTGCCCCCCTCTTCCCCATCCTACAGAAAGCGAACATAACATCACATGTCTCTTCTGCAAGGGCAGTGTCCCCAGGCTTGGAATTTGTTAGGAGGGTTACAGTAAGCCAAAGAGTTGGAATCAGTACCAATTTGGAGTGGAATCTGTGGTAATTAATACAGGCATCATTGTGAGATCTTGTGTTGCTCAATTACTTCTTCAGTGAAATGGCTGAAATTATAAAATGAAGTAAATAAAATTCTCAGTTGACAAGTAGTCAGTAACAAATTACATATGGACATATGAAGAGCAATCAAACTGGAAGAAAAATAAACTAGTATAAAATATGGAAGACCTAATGTTCTGTATTATGGAAGGCAGAGATCTGGAGTTCAAAGTGGATACACAAGGCAAAAATATAGAACCATAGCTTATAAGCAAGCATGTCAAAGGTATATAAATAGAAATTTAGCATGTAAAATCTGTGACTTAATCCTCTTAACTGATTTACGTCAAATGTTTTTGGAGAACTTTATCTACCTTTGCATTTTTACAGTTTAAGGGGATTGTGGAGACTTTACCAGAGATCCTGAAAATTATGCAAAATATTGGAAAGTTGGAGCTTATGGTGGGAGATTAACGGAACAAAGGTATTTATCATGAGAGGAAGTGGTTGAAAGAGAGTTAAGAGTAACATTCATGTGTCTGAAAATTTTTCTTAGAGGATTCTGAGCAAATATTCTTCATCTCTGTTATATACAGAATTAGAAGAACTAAGCTTCATTGTAACCTGAAGAATAAAAGTCAGAAATTCATCTGTCTGAAATGGCGTATGTGGTCTTCCAAAAATGAGATGACAAAGCAGTCGGGGTAATAGATTGACTTTCCAAGAATCTGCTGTGAAAACGTTCTTAAGCTTGTTCATACTGGGAGGCAAAAAATAGGTTGATCTGTATGTTGCATTCATGGCCTAACTGACAGCACGAAACTGTAGAGAGTAATAATCATAGCTTTAAAGGAGTGTTGCTTTGGCCAATTTTTTAGGCTCACTTCTATGGGCCCTTATTTAAGAACTTGCTCTCTCGATGGCTATTAGAGACTGTTGTGGGACAAAGCAGCCAATCCTTAGCTCTTGCCTCCTATTTCATGTAGCTGTCAACATATGACTAAAGAAAGACATTTATTCTAGTGGTGGTACTTATGCAGTGGACTGAAAGTTAAAATATCTTTTTAAT